ATAATAATAATAATAATAATAATAATAAAGAGATTGATTATTAAATAAAAATAAAAAAATAAAGATTAATGTTTGACTACATTTAATGAGGTGGTGCAAATAGCACTTTTTTATTTGCACCACTTATAAAGCTATTACACCTATTAAATAGGGGGTGTAAATAGCAAAATGGGTGGTGCAAATAGAATTTCCCTTATATATATGCTCTGATAGAGTAATGATTCATGGGATTATTATCATTAGAATTTTTAAAATTAATTGTATACGTATACCTATTAAATTCTTACGTGTACCTTAAAATATTTTAAATTTGTAAAATTTTATTTGTTTCAAATTGAAAATATTACTCTTACTACTTGGTACAGAGTAATTTTGAATACTATTAACTTTATTACAAAGTAGTATCTGTTCTATCATTCTCAAATTATTGCAATCCAAAGAGTAGGTTCGATCATGTGACATTCCCTCAACGGGAGCCACTAAAGTGCCATTTGGTACAGAGTAGTTAGTAGTTGCATTTTGTAAACTTATTCTTATTAATGTTATTAAATTATTGATTATTGATTTCTTCATTTTTCTTGTAATAATTTTTAAGCTAAATAGTTGAAAATAAATATGTAAACTTGTTAAGCTAATTTTCAAAGAAAACATAACTTGAATGAGTCCAAATATAATTTTTTAAATTTTTTTAGTGCTATGGTTCGAGCAGACTTGACCAAAAAATAAATGGACCAAATTCGTGTGTTTGACTAGGGGTGTTAACGAACAGGGCTTTCGGTAAACTACTCGTGTTCGTGTTCGATAAGCGTTCGTTTATGTTCGTTTGTTAAGGTAAACGAACCATTAACAAACAAACATTAGAGCTCGGTTAATAAACGAACAGAGCTTGAACAGTTGTGTGCTCATTTGCTAAGAGATCGTGAACAAGCTCGTTTGTGTTCGTTTAATAATGTTCGTGAACAAGCTCGTTTGTGTTCGTTTAATAATGTTCGTGAACAAGCTCGTTTGTGTTCATTTAATAATGTTCGCCAACATGAATGTAGATTATTTCTTGTTCACGAACGAATTGTGATCATGAACATGTGCAGGTGTTTGGTTATTAAAGGTTCACGAACGTGCTCATAAACGCAAACGAACATGTTTGTGAACATGATTGTTAACGTTAACGAACACGTTCGTGAGCGTGTTCTCGAACGTTAACAAACACTAATGAACACTTAACAAACGAACACGAACAGAATTTTCAAAAACCTTAACAAACGAACACGAACACCCTAAAATTCTTAACAAACGAACACGAACAACCTTCGTTCGATTATGTTCGGTTCGTTAACCCCCATATGTTTGACACTTTTAAGTTGAGGGGAGTAGTTGTTATACCATGGAACCGAGTCCAACTTGCAAAGTGGACCTGAGTCCAAAATACACAATTTACATAATAAATGTTCACAATTTGAATTGTGAATATTTAGTATTTAAATTGTGTATGTAAATTGTGAACATTTAGGGTGTGTTTGGTTCGCACATGGAAATCGAAATGGGAATGAGAATCAAATACTTGGTAATGATAATGAGTTTTGTTGAAAGTATTTTGCATGTTTGGTAATATGATGGAATTGAAATAATTACCAATATTGTTGTTTGGTTATATATGATCCTATAATGGGAATAAAAGTTTTAAAAATACAAGAACAAAAAATCAAAACAGTTTAGTATAATATAAAGACATCCAAAGCAACAATATGAACACAAATAAAAAACAAAAATCTAAAAGCACAAATCCAAACTTAAAAATCAAATTACCAATTAGGAGGGGAAATAATGGAATGAAGCCCTTATTTTATTAGCGAATGAGTTTTCTAATTAAGGGGGTAATCAAATCTCATAGTAGTGTTATAAAAACTTGTCAACCAAACAATAATAAATAATAATGACTTTGATTTCCATTCCTAATAGCTAAACCCATGAGCCACGCACACCCTTAGTATGTAAAATTGTAAATATTCATTATGTAAATTGTGAACATTCAGTATGTAAATTGTGTATTTTTTTTTATCCGAGTCCACCTTGTAGTCCATAGAATAATTTGACTTAATGATTGTCATCTCTATATGATCGTGGAGGCAATTTAATATGATGACTGGTAGGATATATCCCGACCGATTTAAGATGTTCTCCGTGTTGGTTAGTACAAGTTCCTTGGCTCGAGCGCTGTAACGGAGAGATGGTCGGTACCGGTCGTCTATGTACCTTTGTATTGCCCTTCTGCTTAGAGACGGTCGGGTCCGACTGGTCGAGTCACCTCCCGACCGATGTTCTGCACGACCACCGTACCTTTGTTCTACGGAGAGGCAGTATCGTTGGAAAGGGGCACGTGGCGACGCTAGGCGTTGACAGAGAGTACTCACCAGGATGGAGCATGTGGATGTTACGTGGATTACATGCGGGTAGGCCGGAGGGTTGTTCCCGGCTAAAGGCTATAAATATCCACGGCGGCTAAGGTGAAGGGGACTTTTGGGACGATCAATAGGCTACTTACAGAGCTGCCCGACCGTAGTTAGTCGGCCCTCGGAGTAGTCATTTAGATTGTATTAGGTCACCTTTTTATATGAGATAACCTCTTTTGATCATATTATAATTTTATATACAGTATGTAGACTGCATACACGTGGACATTAGTACTATCAATGACCATTAAATTAAAAAGAAGGGATAAAGTACAAACACGCAAATTATCAAATTAGACATCAAGCCCTAAATTTTCTCCTCTCTAATTGTGACTTACCATGAACGTAATCGGTATTAAAAATTTCTATAATTTAGCGAGGAAATTAGTCACTGTATCCGACAGTAGATAAATTTCACCAAAAAGAAAAATTGTTGTGATTTGAGAGACGACAAAATGTGTTTTTCAATATATACACACGCAAAACAAGCATATATCTATATTAAACCCTATCTTACAAAAAGTTTTTTTAAATGATAAGGGTCAAATAAGCCCTTCAACTATAAGTCAAAGTGCAATTAACCTCCTAAACTAAGAAAAGTTCTAATTAGACACTTCATCTCTTCACTTTTATGCAATTTAACCCATAACTTCTTAAATTTGTACAATTAGCTTATTTTGCAAATAAACTCAAGATAATAATAGGTAAAATTGAATTGTTTTTTAAAAATAATTTAAAAATAAACTTTAAAATAATAATAATAATAATAATAATAATAATAATAATATAATATAATATAATATAATATAATATAATAAAGTTATAAAAAAAAAAACAGATTGTCTGCTCCTCAAAGGAGAAGCCGACAATCCGACTTCTCCGTCCCGTCCAACTGGACAGAGAAGCCATGAAGGCCTCTCCGTCCAGTTGGACAGAACTAGATGGAGAAACCTACCATGACTTCTCCGTCCAAACGGAGGAGCCAAGCCGGCTTCTCCATCCAATTGATCGGAGGACCAGACTTCTCCGATCGAGATTTTTTTTAATAATTAATTTAATTATTTTATTTAAATTAAAAATATTTTTTTTATTTTTTTATTTTTTTATTTTAAAAATTACCAGTTACCTGAAGGTAACCTATTAATTAACTTAATTACATTAAAATGAGAAGTTAAAATATCTAATTAATTTTTTTTAATAAGTTAATTACACTTTAATTTATAATTAAAGTGCCTATTTAATCCTTATCAAGGTGAGCAAACATAGTATTAAACCCTATCTTTAAAGCACTAATTAGTTTCTTCTAAAAGAAAAGTACTAATTAGTTGACGTCATCCATCCATCATTATAGATTTCATAAAGTTTTTTGGGAGAAGAAGATTTCATAAAGCTTATTAATTAATTAATATAGTGAGCCAAGTTATCAGCAAGAATGTCCATTGTTGATTATCTATCACGATTTTTTAATCTTTTAAGTCACCATCATCCCCTCATATTCAACACACTGTTTTGTGTGTGTGTGTGTATATATATATATATATATATATATATATATATATATATATATATATATATATATATATATATATTTCAAGTTTTATTATAAGAAATTGAATTGAAGTTTATATATGTAATAATTTGCACTCTAAATTATAAAAACATGCATGAACTTTACATTATTAAACACAACAAATTATTTGCACATCTATTACATTCTCATATTAAAATCACATTCCAACTTTTACATATTTTTTTATTCAATTAACTTGTATTGATGGCAAATACTGGTAAATAATATACAAATATTTAATGAATTTTTCTTATTTTAAACATTATAAAAATTACAGTATTTGTTAGTAATTTAATATTGTGCAATTATAAGTGAAAAATATCGTACTTGATATTTTTTTTAGTACTACTCAAAAAATAGTGACTCAATTGGCAAGGACGGAGCCAAAGGGGGCATGGGGGGGGGGGGGGGGAAGCTGCCCCCCTTCACCCCACCCCACCCTATATATAATCATTGTATGTATATATGTACATATAGTACATGATTTAGTATTAGTATAAAAAAAGTATTAAATGTTAACAAGAAATGAATTAGTTTAGTTGGTAGAACACATGTTTGGTAATACTAAAGGTCAAGGGTTTGAATCCTTTTTTCACACACACACACACACACACACACATTCTTTTATATTAATAATGAGATGTGTAATTTATAATGTGTTTTCTATTCAAATTATTTTATCAAATTACTTATGTTTCATATTTTGTTATGAATATTTTTATAAAGTTTCGATGTGTTTGTTTTAATGTTTTTATTGATTCGTCCCTACTTCTTCGCCCCCTCAACCGAATTTCTGGCTCTGTCCCTATCCAACGGAACTCAAACACACAACTTTCAATATAAAAGAGCAACTTGGTGTCACTAGATCACAAGGTTCTTAGCATTAGTTATTGAAAAAAAAGGTTAACCGATCAATTATTCATTACTAATTATTTTTGTTAGTAATTGAGAGATAAGACTACAAATGCAATTTTCATTAGTTATTTGAATCCTAATTTACCAGAAAGATAAATAAAATTGTACGATATTTTTTTGATAGCTTCATAAAGCCAAAATGCCCAAAAAAAAATAGATCAACCAGACAACCATGCTATATTAATATTACCCAAAAAAAAAATAAAAAAAAATCTCTTTTTTAGTTGATTAATTTGATATGACCCGACCCGGCTCCGTGGCTTTAGAAAGCTTCTTCCTCCTCTTAGGACAGCCATCCTCGCACGTCACTGAAGAGGAAGGAGAACAATTTTCCGGCGACGGCAGCCTCTTCTTCGCCGTGATTCTAACTGGCTCCGGCTCGCCGGAATTGATCCTGAGCGGGAAATTCAGCAAGGCACGTGATCCGCGCATGCGGTAGGCCGCCTTGTCGTAGGCCAACGCCGCATCCTCCGCGGTCTCGTATGTCCCCAGCCACACGCGGGCGCCGTTCTTGGCCGGGTCCCTTATCTCCGCCGCGAACTTCCCCCACGGCCGCCGCCTCACGCCCCTGTAATGCTTCTGCATTACTTCTTGCGGAGCCGCCGCCGCCGCCGGCTCAGCCGCCTCCACTTCCGGAGGAGACGCCGCCGTGAAATCCCAAATCCCCGGAATCCCGTTGAACCCCATTTCTGGCTCATCCTTCACCACGCTCGTCGCCGCCGCCGTGGCAGCCACCGCGGGCATCCACCCAGAGCTATTATCTCCGGGAACTGTCGATTCCCCCCAATTCTCACCCAAACAAGGAAACGAGCTCCTCCCGGAACTGCTACTCCGGCAGAAATCCTGCTGAGTTTCCGCCGGAGTGTGAAAATCATCCAGAAAGTAAAATCGCTGAATAGAATCAAGAAAAGCAGAATCGAACATAAATTCAGTATCCTCGTACATCATTTTAGCAGATTCAATTTCTTCTTAAAGCCGGGGACTGTTTTGTTCCAAGGAATTGAAGTGAAAATGGCGGAGAGTGGGGTTTATATACGGTTAAACATACATGCATACAGGTGAAAATTTTGAGGCTTTTATCGCTGCAAAAATTAATAAAATATTTAGTATTCAACCTGGTAAGGATTTTAAGGCGGTCGTGGCTTCCATGCAGTTTCCGATGTGAAGAAAAGTTCTCGGAGTTTTTTTCTCACGTGTTTTTGCGGAATTTTTTTATTTTTTTACTCATTATTTTATCGACGCCTTCTAATTTTGCAGCAGATTGCTGCTTTGTCATTTCTATAGTAGCAAAAATGTTGACTCTAAAATCTTTTACTTGAGATCTACTATCCATTTTTGTTTTGTTAAAGTAAATTTAAAATATTTTAAATTAAAAAGTGAATTTTGTATATGTATACGCTAGGGTCCGTTTGGTAACCTGGAATATGTTTTTCGAAAAATGACTCATTTTTTGAAAAGTATTTTAATTTTTTGGTGTTTGGCTGAATGTTAGAAAATTATCTTTTTTTTTATGTTTGGCGGAAAGTTAAGAAATTACATTTTTTCTGTTTGATTCATTCTTTTTTTTTGAAAATAAACATACTATTTGTTATAATAATAATAATAATAATAATAATAATAATAATAATAATATGTGGTGATGGTAGGGTAGTGGTGGTGTTGGTGGTGGTGTAGTGATTGTGCTGGTGGTGGCGGTGGTGGTAGTGATTGTGGTTATAATAATAATCCGGAAAGTAACTTTAAAAAAAAAAAATGAGAGAGGAAGAGATATAGAAAATAAAGAATGTGGACAATATTTTTTGACTAAAAATTAGGAAGATATTTTTCACCAAATTGGATCTTTTTCCTGTTGACTGGAATGAATAATTTTCTTTGACTTTATTTTTCTTGAGTATCCAAATACTAAAAAATCTAAAAAAAAAAAAAAAAGAAAAAAAGAAAAAGACTTTCGAAAGTCATTTTGCGAACTTTCAAAACAACCCTGAATGATAATTATTTTACAATAGCTTATGAAATGTTTGTCCTTTAAAAGCTTGCGTCGTGGAAAACCAAAGAAGGTATATGGCATCGGAAATTATGATGATGAAAGACAATAAAATTGTGTGGCATGTTGCGATGGTTGCAGACTATGAACATTTACGTAATGTTTTGGTGAAATGATGAAATTATGAGGAAAATAATTATAATTTGGTGGGAAAAGAATAATGTAAAATAAAGTTGAAATTTAAATTATATTATTTTATAAGGAGAAATAAAGTATTGAAAAACAAAAAGAAAAAAGTGGTTTAAAAATTAAAATATCTCTAAATAATAATAATAATAATAATAATAATAATAATAATAAAAGAGTAAATATGTCATTTCATTCCTTTTTCCTTGGTTGAATTGCAATTTACCCCATTACATCAACAGTTGGACGACGTACGATGTTTAATTTTCTTGGCTAACATAAGTTTTGATATTCTCCATATTTGACCAAGACCATCTTACAATTCAATCATATATGTGGTATATTATTATTATTATTATTATTATTATTATTATTATTATTATTATTATTATTATTATTATTATTATTATTATTATTATTATTATTATTATTATTATTATTATTATTATTATTATTATTATTATTATATTTTTGTCTCTTTCTTTGTTTTAAAAATATATTATCATTAAGATAACAACTGAATAAATACTAACGAATAGACAAGAATCGTATCACCAGCGGTGATTTCCTAACTTTTTAGTGATACCCTATGATACAAGTATACAATCATGGGCAAATTATTGTATGGACCATGATTTACACAATGTTATATGGATCATAACAAAAAATACATTCTTAATATATTAAATGTACATTATTTTTGTACTGGATGTATATTATACAATATAATGTACACTCAATACAAAAATAATGTATATCCCCTGAATACAATGTACATTATTTTTGTACTGAATGTACATTATTTTACAGTATACTAAATATGGTCCACATAACTTGTGTGGACTATAGTCCATACAATAATGATTGACAATCATGGGTGTAGTTTCCATTATTATTATTACTATACTACTTTTTCTACGCGCTTTGCGCGAATAGGATAATGCCTAATGATTCTTTTTAAATAAGTACTTCAAATTATATCAATGTAATATTATATAGAAGATGTTCATGTATAAGTAAATAAATATTGAATTTGTTATTAAATCAGTAATTTAAAGTATATAAATGCAAGATAATATATGAGAGATTGATTATATATAACTGTCACAAAAATAAATGGAATAAGGTTCAAATTAAATTGGCCACTAAACGTAACCTGAAAATGCAATTAGGTCACTGAAGAAAAAAAAAAGTACAATTAGGCCACTGAACACTCCAAATGTATGCAATTTCACCTAATAACAGGTTACCTGCTTACATGGAAGCTAAGTTGACATTTGAAATAAATTTAAATAAATTTTAATAATAAAAATTTTTAAAAAATTAAAAAAATTTAAAAAAAAACGATGGGGTGGCCGTCGGCTACCCCGTCTGTTTTATTTTTATTTTTTTATTCACATTTTTTCATTTTTAAATAAAAATTATTATTAAAATTTATTAAAAAGTATTTAAAATGTCAACTCAGCTGTCACGTAAGTAGGTAATTAACCTCCTATTCAGTGAAATTGCATACACTTAGAGTGTTCAATGGCTTAATTGCACGTTTTTGGAGTGTTCAGTGGCCTAATTGCATTTTCATGTTACGTTCAATGGCCAATTTGAACCTTATTCCAAAATAAATGTTTGCAACTTTGTAATAACGCTAGTCTAAATACTTAGTCTAAAAGTGATAGTCTAAATAAATACAACTTTTGGTTTAAATTTCTCTAATTCTCGTTTGGGTATCATTGTCATTGTCTTCATCTTTAGTACATGTTTTTTTATTTTATTTTATTTATTTATTTATTTATATATATATATATATATATATATATATATATATATATATATATATATATATATATATATATATATATATATATATATATATATATATATATTTTTTTTTTGGGTTGGTAGCATAGATGGATTTATCATGTAATGAGATTATGGTGTAGGAAACTTTAGATTTGCTTTATTGTGTATATGGCTGAGATTTTAGTTGTGCTATGAACTCTTTATCTTACAATCACATGTTGATATTTGATAGTGGTAGTTTAATTTCCCCTACATGTTTCATGTGTTGTGAGATGTGTGTCATAGGTTATCATATGAAAGTATTGAACAAAATATTAATATTTATTATATTTGTATAAAATACTTGGTAAATAAATAAATAAATAAATAAATAAATATATATATATATATATATATATATATATATATATATATATAAACATATTTTGTATTATAACTTTGATATTTAATTACAAGATAATGTAAAAAGAAGACAATAGATAATGTAGTGAATATAATAAATTAATAAATTTGAAGGTAAGGAATCTTTGAATTGTATAAAATAAAGATAATATAACTAATAAAATTAATCAGGACTATGTGGTCTAATGGTACTCGGGTTGGACTTCCATTTGGAAGGTTATGAGTTCAAGCCTCGGTGGAGGCGTTATTGGTTCTTTGTGTTTCATTAGGTTGAGAAAGTATATGAACAGATACTACAATGTAATAGGGCCAGTAACATTCAAAAAAAAAACTAATGAAATTATATATCTTTTTATTTTTTTTATAATGAATAATTCATTTTAAATAGAAGCATTATAGACATATAATTCTAAATTAATTAAATACATATGTATTATTTTTTTGTTGTAGCTACTAATTTATTTTTTAATTTAATAAGAGCAATAAAGTGGTGTACATACTTTTCACCCACAATAATGAAATCATTGATTTTTTAATTTCCATTTGTTGTTTAGACAAACTGTTTTGAGAGTTTGTCAATGACAATTACTATCAATAGAGGATGATAATAAATAATTCAAAATATAAAGTTACAATATATATATTGTTATTGTTATAATAATATAGTACAAATTAACTTATAAATTTCAATTCTTTAGAAGTTTTCATGCATTGATAAAAAAACATAATTGAAATATTAAGTTTTGTTCTCAATCATCAAACTAAGATTAATTAAACGAAAAAAAAACTTAACTTAATTTTTTTTTAAATGAAAGAAAATCAAATGATTTTCAAAGGTCCTGGTTTATAATCCTTGAATGCTATGTATTTAGATGAGCTAATTATTTGACCAAAGTTTATATTAAATTTTATATTATATTTTTTGATACTTTGTAACATATTCGCAGTATATGTTTAACAATTATGCCAACTCTAATTGAGATGTGATTCGACCCTAAGACCTTTCTCATAGAAATTAATGAGTAATTTAAGAATAATAAATAGTTAACAGAATATTCTGTTAAGAAAGTTTATACTAACGGAATTTAAGGTTATTTAAGGGAAGAAAATAATATAATAAAGGGTAAATAAGGAAAATCATTAAGAAATACTAAAATCAAAATAACATGAACCATTCATTTTAAGAAACAATTAGGATCGACATTTTTTTTTATTCCAGTCAAGGGCTTAACATTATTGGCTCTTATAAAAATTGTAGAATTGTAGATTATTATTATTATTATTATTATTATTATTATTATTATTATTATTATTATTATTATTATTATTATTATTATTATTATTATTATTATTATTATTATTATTATTATTATTATTATTATTATTATTATTATTATTTATTATTATTATTATTATTATTATTATTATTATTATTATTATTATTATTATTATTATTATTATTATTATTATTATTATTATTATTATTATTATTATTATTATTATTATTATTATTATTATTATTATTATTATTATTATTTATTATTATTATTATTATTATTATTATTATTATTATTATTATTATTATTATTATTATTATTATTATTATTATTATTATTATTATTATTATTATTATTATTATTATT